AAACTTGCTAGGACATTTAGTAGTCAATAAAACCGAACTTCATTATTTTAACCTCCATACAAGATTGTGGGCTTCAGCTTCTTTGGGCCCCCTGCTACTTTGCAGTTCTAGGAGTGGTCACCTGTACTGATAAGTCAGCCTTGCAGAGCAAAGACTGTGGGTCACTCTAATGACTTGGGGGTTGGATTTTTAAAAATAGGACAGAAAAAAACAAATGGCTTAAAATTGGTTTGGGGAATCAGCAAAAATTAAAATGGCATCTAGTTCTTTCAGTGTTACAGTCTTTATTTCAGAAAGTAGGAAGATGGCTTTGAGCTGAGATTATGAAAAAACGATTATAGAAAATAGAACAGGAATAGAAAACGTTTGCCTCATAGCAGCTGTCATTCTCACTATCTCTAGAGTAAAGGTCCCTGATAACATCCATCCATTCATCCACTGTGGCCATTGTCAATGCAATGTGACAAGTCCTTTGGCATGTCAGCTCTGTCTGGGTAAGCAATTACTTTTGCCTCAAATTCCTGAACTTAAATCATCACTGATTTTTAAGTTCAAGCTATTCAACTTAAACAGTCTGGTTCCCTTTTTTATATATGTGTAGTAGCCCAATGTATAGTCACCTATCAATTCATTTGCTCATTCATTATCCATTCATTCATCCATCCATCCATCTGTTCTTCCATTGAGCAAACACTGGTTGAGTATCTATTCTAGGCACATTCTTTTTTCAGATGTAACAAGAAGATGTATGGAGTTATCTCTGCTCTTAGGAACTTACTATATGGAAAGAGGTGGCTGTGACCAACACTCACAAGTTGTTGGGAGGCGTCAGTATTGCATTAGAAGTGCAAGCATGAGCTATGGGAACACGTGCAGAATAATTGACTCCGGAATGGTAGGACACTGGGAACAGGAGACACCTCCTAAAGAATAGGGTATCTTGGGAATTAGTGTTTGTTTAATTTACCAGAGCTGAATGGAAGCAGCAGAACAGAATAGTCAAGGGCTTACAGAAGAGGCTGACCTTGAGGGCCAGAGGTTGGTGATGGTTGGAATTTGTGCAGACATAGGATATAGCATCAAGTAGAACAAAATCTCCATGGCTTTCATCTTTTCTCAGCTGTGTTAACAAAGAGCAGGTCTCTCCATGATTCTAGGACACGACCTGGGTCCAAGCCCTCTCAAGTTTATACTGTTGGGGTATTATTTCTGCTTTAAACCAAGATTGCATACATGAATTCTTGCGTTACTCTGATGAGGGATGAAAGTTAGCAAACCTCACTATCTGATACTCCTCCTGTTAAAGATGGAGGACCAGAATCAGCCTTTAAGATCAAATGACCCAAGGGTCAGTGAGATGACAGGGGAGTAGGTAAAGATGCTTACTGCACATGGCTATTGAATGGCTTGAGTTCAAAGAGAGATTTGACTCCACAATTGTCCTCTGGTCTTCCTGTGTGGCCTGGCATATACATCATCCCCACACACTCACACACACAGACAATATTTTTTTTAATTAAGAGTAAGTGACATGAGATATACAAGAATTTTGTGGGAATCAGCATGGTGAATCAAACAAGAGGCTATTTTATAGTGAGGTAACTATTAGGGCCCCTCTGGAGATCTTCTAGAACCCAGGGGATCCCTTGTTGCAACATATGCTCTGGAAGGTGGCATACCACCACCACCACTACACACACACACACACACACACGTAGTAGTTCTTTACCAAAGCAGTGCCTAATCCAATTCATCTAGGGGATTTGGAGATATGTGTGCATATATGCCAGGGAGGCACTTAAGGGGGGGCACCTGGATGTTCAATACCCTGCCTGCCAGCTGTCAGCCATTCCCCCAAAACAAAAGGTTGTTTTGTTTCACCGAAGACTCTTGAACTTCTTCATCACACTTTTAAAATCCAGGAGGGGGTTAGGAAGATGGTTCAGGTGGTAAGGTGTCTCAGAAACTAAGGTGGAGAACACCTGACATTGACCCCTGGCTTCCACATGTATGTACACACATGCACGTACACATACACGGAAGGGTAGCCATCTTTAGAGAGAGAACATTAATCAGATCTTTCCATTCCAAATTGCAAAATGCATCCACCATATTTGCAGGTCATGAACGCTTTCATACAAGAATCCTTAGATTGATTGGCATCCTTGGTGCAGCCCTATGCTAGATTTGGCCACACTAAACCATGGCAAGAATCATAGTATCATGACCTGGGAGTTTTGGTGGCCGGATCCATGAGCTACGACTGATGTAGAGGATGACAAAGCGTTTGTGGGAACTGATAATGACAGAAAGATGACTCCATGCCCATGAGTAGTAAATCGGCGTTTGGCTCATCAACAGTTACAAACAGTAAGAGCTTAGCTGAGGGAGCAGAGCTTAGCAGAATGCCTGCTCAACTACTTCAACCAGCTAGAGGCTTTACCCACAGAAATAGCCCCTGCAATAGCCAGCTCACTCTTGTGTGAGTCACCGGGGTTGTCATGGAGCTTGAGAGCCCACAGTGGAGTAACAAATCCATGATTCTCTCTCCTCTTTCCATTTCTTTCAGCACCTAGCATGTGCCATGCCCTGTAGGTGAGCTTGAATGATGCTTCACCAAAAACAATAGACAAACAGATGTGTCAGTACAAAAACAAAACAAACAAACAAACAAAAACCTGTGAGGTTTTGCGTGGAGGGGTCAAGACAGAGAGCCAGTCCATCTCAGCTATGCAAAGATCCAGCATCATGTACTGTATACTGACCTTGCCACTCTGATCTTCTAGTTGCTGGCGACAATTATTTAAACTTGTTGAACAACATGAAACTGTTCACTGGGGGTGGGGGGGGGCACTAAGATTCACACTGGGGGATGAGGAAGAATGGTGAGAGTCCTCTGCCATGGAGACTTTCCTCTCTCCATTGTCTCCTAGTCCACATGCCCTCCTCAGTATCCACAGGACCATGGTTCCTAACCCAGCAACATCTCATTTATCACACACCAGAGAGAGAAGGAAGATGCCAGCACTGCTGTCCCTGATTGCATCCTGCCAGGGATAATAATGTGCCATTGGCTACACACAGCAGGACACATTTGTTTGGTTGCCCGGTGAAATTTAGTTGCTGAGACTCAAAAATCAAAGATTGTTTTTCGTGATACCTGGGTTCTTGACTCCTGAATCAGAGTACTTGTGTTAGAAACATGTCAAGGATTATGTTTTGGTGCTGATTTGTTTTTCTTTTTCTTTTTTGTCTCTCCTCTTTCCTCCCTCCCTCCCTTTCCCTCTCTTTCCCTCCCTCCTTCTCCCCCTCCCTCCCTCCTTTCTAACACTGAACTGATTCTCCAGCTTCTACCTCACAAGTGCTTGAGTTACAAGTGTGTCCCACCATGTTCGATTTTACTATTCTTTTTAAAAAGGAAGCACCAGGTTGTTTCTGAAGCAGCAGTTGGTGTCAGTCGTGTTTGGGTTTGTAGGAATATAAACTCATCTTGATTCTATGTGGAAAATGCTACGATGACTTAGGGTCCTCGAATGATTTCTTTTTCTGATACAAAAAGTGACCAAAGGAAGGAAGAAGAAAGAAAGAGAGAGAGAGAGAGAGAGAGAGAAGGGAGAGAGAGGAGGGAGAGAGAGGAGGGAGAGAGAGGAGGGAGGGAGAAAATGAGGATGGAAGGAGGAAGGAGGAAAGTCGGAGGTACTGGAGAGGTGGCTCAGGGGTTAGCGTGCTTGCTGTGAAAGTGTGAGGAGCAGCTTAAATCCTTACTCATGTCAGGAACCCCAGAAAGATCCCTGGAAATTCAATTGCCAGCCAGCCTATCTGCAACAACAGCCCCGACTACCCCATGCATGTTCATACACATGCACTTGGGCACATACACATACATGTACAATACACACCCACAAAATAAATTACAAAAAGACTTAGAATACAAAATTTATTGCCTTGCAGAGACTAGCATAGTGTTTGCAAACCAGACTTAACACTGGGTTCATCTGACCCCTGGTGGTAGAAAAACTATTCTGTGTGCAAATCTGGATAGTAGTCCAATAATGCTTGTCATTCCAGCCAGTAGGGAAAATTGCTTGATAGGGGGATGGAAAGAGATGACAAGAAAGGAATGACAAATTGTATTGTCAATAAATCGTCACCTTCCTGCTCAACAGTCATCAGTGGCCTCCCTATCCAGTGGTTCCCTCATTGTCAAGGACTTTGTGAATTTGGCTATTCACAAAGGTGTGCTTCGTGGACCAGGTCTTTGCTCTTTCGACTTCTTATGTGTTATCTCTGCATCAGTGGAGGAGTGGAGACCATGGACACCAAGTCCCACCTTGATGACACTCTTCTTGAAAGATGCCATCATTCCCTGTGAGTTTCCAAAGGCTCTTCTCCCGTGCCCATCATGGTGGCTGGCCTCTGGAGGAGTCAGGAAAACTGCACTCTGAGGGCCCATTTCACAGGCAGGAAACAGTCTGGCATATTTTAACCAAGAAGCCACCTCAGCTGCTTCTTCAAGGGTGGATAGTTCAGCAGTGACCTGGAACACTGCTTTCTCCTGGGGTCACTTTTGACATGGAGCAAGAAATCGAAGCTGTGTCCCGGAAAGAGAAAAAAAAATAGCCCACCTGCTCAAAATTCTGAGGTAGTAACTCCTCTCATGTACCTTAGGTTATTCACCTTTCTTGAGGCCACTGTTTCATTGACTACATTTCCTGAATGCTCAAAGCCTCGGTTGACACATCCCTAAAACAGGAATGGTTGTAGCATCCACCTTTAAAGATGGGGTGGGGGCTAATAACATGCATGCGAGAGCTAGCCTACTCACCCCTTGAAAGGCGTGTCATAACTGTTAGATATCAGCCTGGACCCAGATGCCTTATTCGGTTAGAGAAAGAACACGAGGCCAGGAGATGGATATCCTCATTCACGTTTAAAAGCCCCAGTCTGTATGTCCTGTCATTTCCCCCACCCACCCACCCAGACTGTTCTCTGATTTTAAAAACTCCCCCAAAGAAATTAAAGTCAAGGAGGGACCACTGCTTTTTTTTAAGTCTAGAAGTCTAGTTCTCTATCTTGAAACACAGAAATCATCCTTGGTAGTGGAAACATGGCCTTACAGTTTTTAATCTCTGACATTCTGAATTTGAAGGGGGGGGGGGCATATTGGAAAACTGCCTATAAACATTTTTTAAACTTCTCGAGCTTTGTGATAAGTTGTGGATTAGCATCAATCACCCTTGACTCCCTGGATCATGAATTAAGTATTCTATCTAGTCAGCTCGAATCTGTAAGAACCCCTATGTGTCTATATGAGAACCTCTTTAAGAGATAACTCTACACTTTGTGTTCAAACCATTTGAAAGCAAATATTGCGGTCTCTTCCCTTTCACACAGAAAGAAAACATAGATAATTCAAATAAAACTATACAAAATGACGTTTCTTGGTTCCTAGGGCCCCTCCCATGATATGTGTGAGCTGTGGTGTCTCTCGGGTAGCACAGTCAGTGGGTGACTCCAATGTGGCCTCCCAGGCATCTTCCCTTTGAGACTCTTTTGACACGGTTTGTGAAGGGCTGTTGCAGCCCCACCCACAGCAAGGGCCCCTCCAGGCTTGAGTTGAGATCACGGGGTTAGAAGGGAGCCTGGCCTTCTACCTTCTCTTCAGTCTAAGGTTCACCTGGGTTGGGCTTAGTGGGAATTCTCTACACCAGCTTCCTGCTGGTGGCTATGTCCCTCAAGGATCCCATACTGCCTTGGCAAGGCTGAACGCGAGTCCCTTGAACCCACGGTGGACTTGCTCTAATGCAGGGCGGCAGAGCTGCTTCCCAGTCCCTGGCCAGCCTGTCCGTCCCCTCAGCAGCTGGTGAGTTCAGAGGGCTGGAGAGCAGGCCCTGCCCTTGGCACTGTGCTTGGTCCCTCGTCATCCTGTGCCTTTGCTGGCACTACTGCATCTGCCATGCACTCCTGGTAGGGTGGTGGGGCCTCAGGTCGCGGGTCATCCTCATCTTCAAGGTCCAGGTTTGTTGCTGAATACAGAGGAGGAGGAAATCCCAGGAGGCCTCTGCCTGCAGGGCAGGCCTGTTTCTCAGCATCCAGGCTTTCTTCATAAGTCGGGGGATAAAAGTCGGGCCTGTGAGATGAAATGCCACAGAGATGCATGTGTTATTTAGGTCTCGGCGGTGAAGAAGCATATGTCTGCCTCTCTCAGCTCACATCGTGTGAGGCTAAACTGCTAGGAAACACTGAGTTTGAAACAGATGTACTTTTCTGACACTGCCAGATTCTAAAAACTGCACACCCTTCCTATGGAATTGATCCCTTCCAGTCATAGCAGTCCGCCTGTTCGAAACAGATATGCCAAGCTATTCTTCCTTGTTTGCCGAAAGAGTCTAGGAAGCAGCCGTGCAGTGCGCTGTCTTTATCAGTGCACGTCCCTAGGTAACACGGAGACTTTGACCACGAACCTCTCTTTAGCCAGTATTCAATCCTTAACACACCTCGTCCTCCACTCCCTTGCTCTCAAGGTCTCTGACCCTCACAAGCAACAAAATAAGAAGGGAAACCAACTCCATGCAGGTCCCTGACCCGAGAGATGCCACCACTCTCTCCTGACACATGGTCAAGTCCTGGGCAGCTGGTTTCAGAGGAAACACAGGAAACATGCTCAGGCCTCAAGAGGCTTCAGCTGAGAGCTTTGGGAAGTGCTCAGCTGCAGCATTGCTAGGTTGGCCTGCCCATGGTTAAGGTCATTCACCCCAGCTGATGGACCTGTTCATCATCTTGCCCATCTAAGCAATTACTAAACACTTCTGGCTCCTCCGCCATGAATGAAGGTGGAGGTGGGGTGAGCGGAAGAGAGCCAGGGCAAGCACGCATGAGTTGTATATTTATAGAGGTAATCTACCCGGTGCCCAGCGGAGTGTTTATGGTGAGTAACCAAAACAGAACGAGGTCTACAAGGTCTGCCATTTGGAGCCACTGCTCCTTTCCAAATGTCACAAAGCCTAAGGCCAAATCGCTGAAGGAGCTGTCTACTGTACGACGTAAGTCTTGACCTTCCCTGGGGATAGCTAAGGCTGAGTCATGGGGACAGAAAGGTGAGTCCTTCCCTGGAACCAAGTGAGAGACTCCAGGAGGACAGCTGCCATGAATTCCAACACCGGAGGGACATTCGCTTGGATACCTCTGCTATTTGGAGTGCAGATTTTTGAGATAGGGATCCCCCCCTCCCCCATTTAACTCTGTGACCTGAGCATCTCAGGATGCAGCAGGAAGGAGCAGTGAGATAGGGGTGTCAAGACGGTCATTATTTACTTTTGAATACTCTAGACAAGAGAATACATATGACTGTGTTGGTAAATTTCAGGTGCATCCTAAAGACACTCAGTTACTATCAGCAGAAATTCACACTGTACAGGTAGATACGTGCGTGCACACACACACAAACACACACAAACACACACAGACACATCAAAATAAAACAGCACACACACTCTCGATCACTCCAGAAACAACTACTAAATCGCTCCTGATATCTTAATTTTTTTATTAAACTCAAAGAACTTCCTGGTTAGTCTGATTAAGCTTAGAAACATGTGTGAGTGGCGTAAGGAATATCAGCAATGTGCAGCCATGGCGAGAGGACTCTTATTCAATGTGCATGGGATAATGAAGACGTTTTGTGGACTTCCTACTCTTGCATGAAGAGCACAAAAGGACGTATGGATTCTTACTTCCTATACCTTAAGAACGGTGTTCTTGTGTTTGGACAAGGATCAGAGGATTGGTGCTAAATTAACTGACCACAAAGTTACCCAAATCCTTGACTTTTCTGTTTTGGTAAAATACAAATAACTTAGCATGTATTACTTGGAAGGTGTTAGTGGTATTTAGTGATCTTATATCTCTACAAAGCATCTCTTGAACTCTTGTATCTCTCCAAACTACAACCCCATATTCATCAAATAGCGACTCTTCACTTCCCCTTACACACACACTCCAAGCCTAGGAACCACTGTCCTATTTCTTCTCTGTGGTTGCTTCTTGGTGCAAGTGTAATGGTCCAGTGGTTGACCATTCTGATGAATGGGGATCACCTGGCATAATATTTTCAGTGTATAGTCACCTATGGCATATATTAATTATTTTATTCCCTCTTAGATCAATTAATATTGCAATGTGTATGTGTTCATGCTTTCATTTGATAACATTGATGGACGTGTTATCATCTTGCTTGGAATGCATCCTTCATGCAAGGTGACAGCAGAACACTGAAAAGGACCTAGAACACCTAGAACTTACCTTAGTCACAGGAGTTGATGACTGACTTGATGTCTGCTTGCTCACTTATCGTGGGGGGAATTTAGTCTGGAACTTTCTTTATAACTCAGTAACCAGGTTATAGGGACCACCTAGTCATCATCTGCCTTTCACTAGAATCATCCCCTAAATGTAAGAAGAACCTAGGAGTTGTGTCCCTTAATATGCTTGCTGTATGTGAGCTTTTACTAGGGGTGTGAGGATCTTACCCTAAGAAAATTCCCCCTTGCCTCATTGGTCTCCCCAATAGCAGCCTTCTTCTCCCACATTGTGACCCAAGAGCAAATGGCCCTATAGTAAGTGGATCCCCTGTGCAATTAAACATCACTCCAATTCCCTCCCACGTTGTAGCTCAGCTCAGCCCTTCTCATGCCCTCAGGTGCTCAGCACGTACCTGTCGACTGTGGCCAGGGGCAAGTCCTGGGATGCAAGGTGCTGTCTCAGCACACGGTTGAACATCTCTTTGTTTTCATTTGCTTGGCGGTAAGTGGCCCAGAAAATTCCACTCAGGAGGATCGCAAACCCCATAGGCAGAAGCACATAGGCCATGACCAGATTCCGCTGAGAGTGGATGACAGAGTTGGAGATGAAGTAGCCCCCCAAGCAGATCATCAGAAAGCCTACAAGGAGGGAGAGGGAACAGAGGATTAGACTACCCCTGTTCTGCATCCCTGCTTCTCCAGAGCCCGTCTGACCCTGCCACTCCTCTGCTTCCAGGCTTTCTCGGGGAAGTACACTCATTAGCTAGGTCACAGTCTTATACACAGGAATAAATGGCCTTTGAACAATTAAGTGAAGCAGGCACCAGGAAGCTATTCATTAACCACTGAAAGTTACTGTAATATCCTCCAGGGGGAACCTGGAATCATCACACGGTGTCCTCCAGGAAGGGGAGGTTACACGTAGACAGTTTGTTCCTGGTGCGTGGGTAGGAGCTCAGCTGCTCCCAGGTGCTGGAGGAGAGGCCCTGAAGTTTGGATTACAAAGGCACACTGGTCTCTCAACCCTCACTGTAGGGGATTCCCCGCCAAAAGCTGCAGAAGTTAATATCTCTCCGGAAACTATTGCTTTTGTTGGCTGGCAAGGAATCCTCTCCTGATTTCATTTTCTCTTTCTGTACCAAGAAGACATTTCTCAGGGATTCTGGGTGTCTTTGTCTTGCTACCTCAGTGACTCTGCCCTTTATTGCCTCAGGGCTCTGATATTGGGGAAATTCCTCAGGAGCCGGCCAGGGAATGATCCTTCTGTTGACAGGGGAGAATTCTAGGAAAGGAACATTCTGGAGAAGGGACTATGTGGGGGCACATGGGGATGGCTGTCAAAGAGGATGGGGAGACAACTGCTGTTTAAATCCTACTTTGGAATCCTTCCCATTGTTGGGGTGCAGATGTGACCATCTTATTGTCACCCCTGGCTGACAGGTACTTAGCATTTATTCTATACGACTTGAGCACAGGCTCAAGTTCCTGGTTCATGATAAATGTTCCACCCAAGTCTCCTCCCACTCTCAACAAGGATCCACAGGCCTTGGATCTGAGAGCATTCCCTACAAGGTTGCAGCACAATGTGGCCATCATGTCTACCAAGAAAGTTCACGTCAGGAAAGTCTCCTACTTCCCCCTCTATCCCCCACACAGCTTCCCATGGCACACTAGCAGATTAAAGGCCCTGAAATATCTGAAGCCTTCCCCCTAAGATAGGTCAAGTAAAAATGATCTTTGTAGATGCTGTCAATGTTCCTCACCCTCTCCCCTACACCTTGGTTCTGTTTAATATTGCCTTCAAAGTATTCTCGGAGCTACCATATGTACTCTACCTGAAGTTTGCTCTGTTCCTCTTGTCAGACTGGTTGCAGACCCCTTATTCTAGATCCACTTCATGCCTTACTTCCTACCTTTGATACCTTTGTTGATACCTTGGCACATCCAGGCCAAAAGACTTCTTCCCACAAGGGCTTCCAAGTCACTTTGGCCTGGATGCTTTCTACACTTCTCCATTGTCGTCTGCTTTTCCAATACAGCATTGTGGTATCTCTACTAATATCCTTTCCCCTCGTACCCACCATTTCCTTAGTTCTGCCTTTGTGTTAGGGCTAGGGAAGACAGGAAGACGCTGCAGATCAAATACACTGGCAGGTGCTTCGTCCTTCTACCTGCTGATCCCGACATATGTCAGCTTCAGTTCTAACCTTGAACTACATCCATCTTCTATGCCTGGAATTGTCTTTGCAGTCTAGCCTTTGACTTCCTCTTTCTGCAGTCGGTGTTCAGGTTGCTATGATGGTCACTGATGACTCCTGTCTGCTATCTAAGTAATCCCTTCCATTTGAGTGTGAGCTTGGACCTAGTGACTTGATTCTAGGGAGTAGAATAAGGCAGAGATGATAGCTGTTTCCATGATTAGGTTAAAAAAGAAGGGAATCATCCATCCTGCTAGTAGATTATTAACTCTGAAGCATGAGGTTGCCATACTAGCATCTGGCAAAGAACTTAGAGCACCTTCTTGGTCAATAGTCATTGACAAACCTTCACTAATGGCCCTTAGCTCATCAAGCAGATAGAAGGACACTCCGGTCCAAGCATACAGAGTGAGGAGCAACTCCTTTCGCAACCATTTCTGGGAGAAGGCATTCAAGCAGTACTCTGCCTACACAACCCTTGAGAACAGGAGCCGTTGAAGTTAGAGCTTCCAAACCTGAGTCACACAAGCTACGGCCTTATAAACATGCTCTGCTTTAAGTTGCTACATTTTTGTGACATGTTTGAAGGTAGCAAGAGAGAACTAAATCAGTCCCATGAGGACTCAAGAAGTCAGAGTAGTGAGTGCTATATTCATCACAGGACCTGGTCCACAGCACTCTGCTACAGTGGTCTGTGTTCTTCCTCACCATCACCATCATCACTGATGGTCCCCAAAGCCACGAGAAATCCCAGGGTTCCTGACTGAGGTTGTCTCTAAAGGCTAGGTCCCAAGTTCAGATTAATGGTAGGATCCTGGGGCTAATACTAAATGTCAGGTAAGGAAGTGGGAGCACTCATGATGAGCACTGGCCATCATGGAACTAGGCTTGTTTGGGTTGTATAAACATGGGAACTCAACTGCGGAGGGTGACAGATCAGGCTCAGGCCCTGGGGCGACAGGAACACAGGAACAAATGAGCATCTTCCTACCTGACCTCCTTCAGTGCCAACAAAGACATGGTTTTCCAGACAGGTTTCTTCCTCTTCAGCATTGCAGGGATGGCTCCTGGCACTCCCAAACAGTGTCTGGTTGTATTGGTGATGGTAGAAGCGGTAGTGGTGTCTTCCTAAGAATTTCAGTGAAATACAGCAAAATCCAGAAAGTACCAGGGGAAGGAAGGGCCAGTTCCTTCATAGAAAATGTATATAAAAGAAAAGTCTGTGTCTGGGTACAGAGTACTCTAGGAATTTGATGGGAGATGGGGCATCAAGGCCCCCTTGCTCTGCCTTGCTAAACTGTTAGATTCCATTCTTAAAGCTAGCCACCAAGGTCTAGTTCCTTTGGCCATTATCTTATGCCTAACTAAAACTCGTCCAGCTACCAAAACACCAAACAAAACAGCAATCAAAATATGGCTACACTGGCTAACAGGGTCAATCAGGACTTACTGATGCACCCTAGCACAGACTTCTCTCTTTCTCCTTAAAAACCACTTCTGCAGTGATACCTGCTGCTGTCTTTGCCTGATCCAGAAGCAGCCCCCTAGCCCAGAGACAGCCTCCCCCCCCAACCCCTGCCCCGAGATAGCCTCCTAGCCCAGAGGCAGTCCCCCTCCCCCAAGGGTAATAAAATCTCCTTTGTGCTGAGAATTTGGTGTCCGTGTGTGTGTGTGTGTGTGTGTGTGTGTTTAAAGGGAAGGTTTTAACTGTAGATATGAGAGAACAGCCAGAGGCATCTGGAAGAGGTCAGAGCAGAGAGCTAAAGGTGTAGACTGACCATGGCCAGCAGACTGGGCCTGGCCATGAGAGAAGCAGAACAAGAGAGAGGGGGAGGAGAGAGGGCGAGACAAAGAGAAAATACGTATCTAAAAATGGGGGGTGTCATAAGACGATGGGGGCAGTTTAGGGCAGAGGAGGAGGGGATAAGGGAGGAGCCTAGATAGCATGGACTCTGAAATGTATATAGCAGGCACCTGTGATGCTGAGGGAGCCCGAAGGCCAGCATGCCCTTTGGCAAGCTAATCATACCACAGGTAGCCATTAGTCCTTTGCCATTGATAAGGGACTTGGCTCCTTTTGGTGGAGAGGATCTGGCTTAGGCTTCACAAGCTCCTAAAGGATGCTGGCTTTTATCTAACCCCCAGAAATATTCCTATGGTCCAGGCTGAGCTCATTTCTGGATATCTGAACTGCCTTTTGGAGTTTGGGGAATCGGTGTTTCATTTGGACCTAACAACAGTAACATGTTATTTGGCCATCAGCCAAACGTCTTAAGACGTAAATGACTTTCAACACTGTTCCCTTAGGCAGGACAGACCCATGAGCACTGTTCTGAACATTGTGTGCCGCTGAGTTCCAGGCACTGTCCGGCCCCTGGGTTCACATTAGAATACACCGGAAATTGGCTGCAGTACACACAGACAGGGCACGAAGACACGGCACAGTCCTCTACACCCAAGCTTCTGTCTCTAGGGTGCATAAACAGGCTGGGGGTAACTCAGAAGCGTCTGGAGGCTGGTGGAGGCGGTGGCACAGGAAGGGCCTGACGCCAGGCACGGAGGCAGAGGTGAGGATTTCAGAAGGTCACCTGGGCTCAGGAAGCGAGCCTCTGCGGGAGGTGGAGGGGGCAGCGTGTGGGCAACAGGAGATGCCACCCAGTCTGACCTCGTGGTGGTTACTAAGTGCTTTCGGGATTAACCTTTCACACTTGAGGGTTCACTGAGCCGCTGGTCACTTCCTCCTCCTCCTTGTTTTCTTTGCTTTTAAACCTTTTCCTCTGCCGCCCCCTCCTCCCTCCCCCCACTCAGGAGAAGATTGAACGGAAGGGAGGTTTTGAGACACTGGCAAAGGACAAAGAGCAAGTCAAGGAATTCCTGGCACGGGAAGGAGGCAGCCCCTCACTTGTCCACTGTGACCTGCAGGTCACCAAGACAGATACCCTGAGCAGGTCTGGAACTGGATGGGGGCCCTGAGATGTGGGCCCACAGCACTGAGCTTGTGAGGTTGCAAGTCAAGCCCCTTGCTAATCAGTATAGATTCCATTTTCAAGCAATTTTTGAAAACCCAGGTGGGCATTCCTGATCCTGTCAAGTTTGGTCATTTTGAATCTTGTCATTGTCTGTGGACAGAGATGTGTCATATTTACAAGTCCCCAGCCGTGGTGCCATTGGATATAAACTTGTGAGGTTTTGCCATGGCGCGGGGTTCCTGTCTTGTTCTGGGGTAGCCGTGGGAGGTGGACTCTTTTCCCTTTCCCAGAGATCTGGAGAAATCACATCTGTTCTGGTTTGTGGAGACTACATTGGAAGGTAAGTTCTTTCTAAAACAAGCTTCTCATCTTGTTTGATCCACAGACATGATGCACGGAGGCAAACCACACATACACATAAAAGTAAATAATATTAAAGTTGTAGCTGAGTTAATCTTCCTAAATTGTGTGGTCCTCAGAGGCCCACTTCCTGGGCTCAGCCATAGGCTAGGCAGGCCTTCTGTCCCAGCTCGCCCAGAAGCGCTCATCTTGGACTGCAGGTTTTTTGGTTAGCTTTTTTTTTTT